TGGGACTAAGTGTCCCAATTCAACCACCCTGGCAAGTCATATAATCACAAATACACATATGTAATGCATAAAATAGGAAAAAAGGGGCAAAAGTACTCAAAACGACTAGCCAGGTCGTTTGATTCTTCCCTTCTTAAACAAACGTTCTATCACGCCCCGACCTCCGATAGCGCGATCGGCGCTCAACCGAGATATCCGGGTTAAGCAAGCCTGCTAGATGCCTTCTACCCAACCTTACCCATTAACAATATAAGAACCAGTACAAGTAATAGACATGAGAAGAGTCAAGTACTCCACAATCTTTTTCATTACTAAAGGATATTCATTTATGATTTTCAAAATATTACAAGTTTATAGATATGATAAAAAAACATGTTTGCCCAGATACCAACACTTACTAGTTTAATTTCCAATATCATACACCACCCAAAACCTATCTACGGTGTCTCTAAGTATAATAGAAGAGTAGTATGGAAGTGTTGGCTAAAAGGCCTCGGCTATACCTCAAAACATAAAGTACAATGTCAAATGACATGAAGACCGGAACAGAGTAGGGCTCACCATAATCTGTTGAATAGAGAGTAATTGCTAACGAGGATCAAAATCGCCCGCTGACGAACCACCTGCATCCATTGAAGATGCAGCGCCCCCGGCAAAAGGGACGTTAGTACATATGGAATAGTACTAGTATGTAAAGCTACATGTCCTCTTCCAAAATAGAATGCCAATATAAGAAAGGAAAAACCATAGAAACGGCAAGTCACAATCAACAATATCCAAATGTCCAGTTAAAATATAATAATTTTAAAAATGCGGAATATATATATATATATATATTTGGTAGGAGATCATTAGTACCAATATAGATATGCCACCGTGTATTTTGTATGGAGTCTGATCACGACCTGATCGGTTAGGCCGTCTTTCTCAAAGACACCAACCACAATTACAATTACTGTCACGAACTTCAATCATTATCTCAATCACAATCTCAAGCATAATGTCATTACAATTTCCAGCACAATTATCACCATGTGTGCGATATGACATCTGATCACGACCCGACGGGCTAGGCCATCTCACCACAATGCCATGTGGATCGACATCACCCTTTTCTAGTAATCACCTCATCCAAATAAAGGGGAATATTCGCATCACAACAATCTCATCCCAAATAAGGGGAATAATCACAATGCACCCTACACCGGCACGTGTAGTTTCACGGTTAGGTTATTCCTACCTACCCTTCCTCGGTGACTAATGATACTCCCAAAAAAACATTTTTTATTGTTTTGCACATAGGGGAAACAAAAGTACAAATATATTTTATATTCACCTCTTTATATATATATATATATATATATATATATATATCTTCATTAGTATTTTCAACCATTCACAACATTGTTATTTCCTTGGCTCTCTTGGCTATACTTATGATTCTTCATTCATGGCACGGTGGCCGTATCTCATATTTCACACTTTCATTTCCTTACATTCATGGATCATCATCATAAATATCAACAAATAGGATATTCCGAAAATCATAATTTTAGGTTTATTTATAATTGAGACTTTAAACACAATAGATTTCTTTCCAAGAAATAGAGTAAAATGATTGGCAATCGAAGCACAAGTTAAAATCATAAACATGTAACACATCATTTGTTCTTGAAATACTTTTCCCCAAAAATGGCAATACACAATTTCAACTCATGAAAGACATAAGAGCTCAAAATATATTAGTAATACTTACAAAGTATAGCATTAGACACAACAATCACATTTGGGCATGACTTGGGTACATAAGCTTTTAGGCAAATCTATTTTCGAAGTCAATTTGGAACAGTTGAATCAAGGCTGATTTCATAACCTTTCTCACATTATTTCATTTCATTGGCACCATTGGCCACAAGTATAATTTTTATTCTTGGCACGTTCGCCACACTTTATGTCTCCAACCTACTTCTTTCACTTTCAAGCATCCTTATAGATTATCAACAACAAGGCATTTCAAATCAAGACTTTAGGTACAGATATAAGTCATTGGAGTTTTAGACACATGGAGTATTCTTTCCAAGTTAAGCATAGTGGACTTTCATTTGAAACATGACTTAAAGTCATAATATTTTAATACATATATCATTCTCGCACACATTCCCGAAGGATAATATAATGTGATAGAAACATTCGGAATACATTTTGAATATATAATTCTCCACACTTTGCTTACTCGAGACAATCGAATTTATTGGGAACAACTCGGAACATGGGAATAAGGAACTTGAGCCAATTATACTTGAAACTCACGGGAACACCATCGAATTCAATTCTAAGAGAGTAGTTTAGCCAACATACCTTGTTTGAGCTTTCCTTAAGATACTACAACGCCCAACACCTCTAGAAAAAATAATCTATAGGAAGATAGCGAAAATCGGATAATAATTAGAAGGATTCTCATAGTTTAACTCTCTTAGGAATTTTGTCAGACACTTAGTATGCAAAAATAGACTATATAGCTCTACAATGATAATCCCTTCCTACCTCAACCAATTTCAACAAGAAACTAACCAAAATGGTTAATTAATCCCACATACTACAATCTATTGTAACATGCATGGTGTATTTCCAACCCCACAATACACTAGAAATCATAACCTCTTGCATGAAAGCTTAGGAGCAGGACTTACCCGGATAGATGATAATCTAGTGATTGACTTCCTTGATTCTTGAATGTTGGTGCAAGATTGGATGATTAGAATGCTAGGTTTTCTCCTTCTCTCTCTAAAATACTCTTACCTCTCTCTAAAATTAACAGACATTTGCTTCAAAATGAGCCCCTAAAGCTATTTATCAAAATGGGGTCGGGTTATAAAAATAGAAAAATGGATCCTTCGAACTCAGATGTACGTTCATAGAATGGACTGCATAATTGATATGCAACCCGCAAAATGGGCCGCGAAAATGATGCTAAGAACTGGGCTGGTATGGACCAGTCTGTGACAGGTCTGCGGTCCGCAGACCACTTATGCGGCCGTAGAGTGGACTGCAGAATCGCCCAAAGAAATTCTTCATGCCAAATATGCGATGGAAAATGCGGGTCACGAAATGGATATGCGATCGCAGAATGCACTGCAAAGCGACCTTAAAAATTCAACCATTTTTTTCTACTCAGCTCTGCGACGGGCATGCGGCCCGCGGAGTGGTTCTGTGATTGTAAAATTGACCGCAGAATCGCCTTCTTCTGCCAAAATTTCCATTAATTCCTACTCGGTCTCCCAAGTAGCCTCCTCGACTGGCTGATTCTCTACTGAACCTTCATTGATGATATATTCTTCGATCTTAACTTTTAAACTTGTCGATCCAAAATGGCGACCGGCTCCACATCATAAGGTAAATCCCCATCCAACCGCACTGTGCTGAAGTCCAAAATACGTGATGAATCCCCAAAATACTTCCGGAGCATAGATACATGAAATACTGGTTGAACTCCTGATAGACTAGGTGACAAGGCAAGTTTGTAGGTCACCCCTCCCACTCTCTCAAGCACCTCAAAAGGACAAATATACCTAGGTATCAACTTGAGCTTCCTTCCAAACCCCATCACACTATTCATGGGCAAAACTCTGAGTAGAACCTTCTCACCCACCACATATGCAATATTACGAGCCTTCTTGTCAACATAACTCTTATGCCTAGACAGCGATGTACGAAGCCTTTTGTGGATTAACTTCACCTTCTTCAAAGCATCACAGACAAAATCAATATCCAACAACCTAGCCTTCCTAGGATCAAACCAACTAATCGGAGAATGACATCGCCCCCCCATATAAGGCCTCATAAGGAGTCATATGGGTACTCTACTGCTAGTTATTGTTGTAGGCGAACTACGCTAGTGGTAGAAACAGATCCCATGATCTCCCGAAATCAATGACACATGCACGCAACATATCCTCCAAAATTTAAAGAGTGCGCTCGGACTGCCTGTCCATCCGAGGATAAAATGTTTTGCTCAACTTGACCTATGTGCCCAACTCACGCTGCACTGCTCTCCAAATATATATTGTAAATTGCGTGCCTCGATCCGAGATAATGGATGTTGACGATCAATTTTGACCCTCCCATTAAAATTAAATGATTTATGTTTAATAATTTGTAATAGATGTAGTATAATATTTTTCAATCATTAATACCTATTTTTATTAAATTATAATAGGAAATAGTAATTAACAATGTTGAATTAATAATTTTTCATTAAGAATTATAAATTATATAATTCCTACTATTTTGGAACAATTAAATTGGTCTTTATATTTTAATAAACAAGTTTTGAAATTAATTTAACAAATTAACCTTTGATATTTAATCATAAAACTTTATTACTTTTATTAATCCGAAATTAGTTTCATAATTTGATAAATGAAGTGTTTAAATAATTAGTCACAGTAATTTATAATATATTTGATGATTATATATTATCACATTTGATTAGAATTAATTAAGTCTAATTAACTTAATCTTTAAAGGGGTAAAAAACATAAAAAGGCAATTGCAATTAATTAACTAAACCCAATATGGGTATGAATTAAATTTTATTTCAACTAATTTAGCCCAAATTACTGTCCCAATATAGCCTGACCTGGTCCGAAACCAACCTCCTTTATCCAAGATGGGGATCCACGCAATTCTCTCTAAACCAATCAAAGCGCGCCATGCCACCTGTCTTCCTCTTTCACAGAGGAACACAAATTGATCTAGACCATTGATTCAACTCATCAACGGCCCATATTTAATCTCTATTTTCCTCTTTTCCTTAATTTTGCTGAGACCTCATCTCCGCCGTTGGATTATAGGGATCCAACGACCGTCTCTTTTTGTAATAAAAATATTTCATTAAATACTTATTCCTTGAATCAAACGATCCAACGATCGAGATTCCATCTCCCACTTTTAACCAAGAGACGATCCCTAAACCCTAATCACTTTCCACCAAACGGCCACCCTAATTTCCCTTTCTTGTCTCCTTTATCTCATTCCCATCACCCCTATCAGTCCTAAAAACTGGCACAAATTTGTGCAAGATCACAAATCCGACCTCAAATCATCATTTTTGTCCCTACTGAACCGTGAATCCCACCTGAACTTTCCCCTTTCGTTACCCTAATTTGAATCTCTAACCCAGAAGCCCTAGACCTAAAGGTGAAGCCTGGGAATTCATATATCCTTCCTTTGTTTCGTCGAATTAGAGCATGCCTGGTTATTATCTTCAGCTTCAGCTTCATTATTCATTGTCCAGAGGTCAAACGCAGCGACCTCTAGACATTAAGGCATGACTGATGGACCAAAAGCTTTAATTGTCGACCTCCTCGTGCTCAGGTAAAACTTATACTATTTTCCCCCCTTTACCCTCTGATTTCACTTGCTTAGTATCGTCATCCATCCTATCGTCACTCTTCACTATCCGTTCGAACTCAATTGAAACCCTAAGTTGCTTGGATGCCACTATAAATAGGGTATTCAAGACACCAATACACTTAACATCACCAGCAAACACATTGAAAGAATTAAAAAGTTTAAGTTTTTCTTCTAATTATTAAGTTCCAGTAGCTTCTCACTAATTTATCTTTTCATCTTTTCATTTTTGCTCGAGTTCCATTTCTGTACATAATTCGTATTTGGTTTGGACTCTAAATTGCTAAGAATCAACTCTTTCTTGGTTTGCTGCTCTGTAGAAGGTCAGTGTATAATGACATTGTCTCTATCTTTTAATTGTAAAATTTTATGATGTTTTCCTGTTAATCACCTTTTTTTTACGATATACATCAGTTGTACATGACTATACTTGTTATATTATTTTTGTTGTATGCCATTTTCATAGTCGAGTTGGTAATTTCCTGATAAATTATGATGTTCGGATACTGCTATCTAAACCATGTTGTTAATGATATTCTATCTCCCAAAACTTAGCCAAATAAAATGTTTTAATGATGTTGATACTCTTCTGAGCAAATCATGTTGAACCTTTTATGATTGGTTGAACTAAGCCTTATGTTAATCCTATGTATGCTCTACCTCTATCAGTTAAATGATAGCTATACTATCATGTTTCGCTAACCTAATTGAGCTATGCTCTTAACCCTCTCCTAATGTCCTGTTTGCTGCACTGAGCAATATTGATCCTTACATTTGTAATATTATGCCACCGGATTTTGATTCAATAAAAATGATTATCATCACAGTTCATGACATTCATTTAATTATTTTGCTTTGATGACCTTAATTGAATATTTTTCTTGTTGAAACTATGTTTGTTATGTGCACTTAAGAGTTCATGCAAGTCTATTATTATAGTTTGAACTCATATGATTAACATATCAATGCAGTCATCACATCATCTGCTCACTTGATCTGTGATTATTTTATGACCATGAAACTCTATAGAAACCATATTGTATGTTGGCTGACTGAATCTTATTTACCTACATGCACGTGCTTATGTTCATCATACTTCTGCTAGTCTAGTAATGCCCATGAACCTTTACCTGCTCTTTAGTTGAGAAAGTTTCATGCTGAATTTACTATGTCCTTTGCTGAAATCTTCTCTTGATAGTTTGAATCATGTCTGCCTTAATAATTTAGCAACTTGAGTGAACAATGTTGAACATAGGATCTAAAATGGGATGTTTACTAGTGTAACCTGGTCACTCACATGTTTAAGTAAATTCACCAAGACATGTTTGTCTTCTCTCACCCACTGAGAATGAATATCCCCATCCACTGTCTCATATTTGATTGATATCCTTGTCTATAAGAATTTACTCAAGAATCTGAAATTGTTTGGAAACATGACAAACTACGACTAGATATCATGCTAGTAGGTTTGAACTAGACTAAAAATGACCTTCCCACTTACATTATTATCTCTGCTGGTTGTTGTTATCTTTGGGAAGCCTGAACAAGGCTGTCAGTACAGGTGTTTGGTGAAGTAAGGTCTCGTCCATGTATATGCTTACCTTACACTGTTCTAGAGATTACTGAAATTTTAGTTGAAGTGCTATAAACCTAGTTAAGGATCCTAAAATGTTGAACCCTCAGTAGAACTAATAAAACTAATACATATGTCTTTCCCTATCAATTACCAATTCATTTACCACTAACTCTCTTTATTTTTATATATGAGTGATAACCTTCCTAAGTGTCTTGATGCATGCTATAATCAACCTTAAGGTCATTGATATTACTGGACCATATAAGTCTACTTGCAGTAACTTGCCTTTTTATTTAGGGTTCTGATAAAAGATCCTAAAGTCAATATTGTGATTAGTTCTGAACTTTGCAAATGCTTGCAATCTAGTGATGATATTCTCTATAGTTTTTGTTGATGTTCTGTGTTCCTGAATCTTTGTGTCCACTGATGCTTCCATGTTAACTACTAAGTTGACACCTCATTTATGTCTAAACATTTGAGAAAGAGTAAGCGTGGGCGGTTAAGGGTATTTGGGTGTGAAACCTGGTATGTGGTTAAGATACCCTTCCCTGACACAAGCACTACTCGGGGTCTATGAGACCGTTATGAACTCTAAAGTACCAAGGGTCCAAAGGGGGATTTTATCCATGAATAAGGTTTTAATCTAAGCCTTTGTTCATTGACTCTTTTTAATCCTCATAGGATTAACACAAATGAGATTGGATTTAATATATTCTGTAGCTTTATTATCACTCGTGATTTATTATTGTTATGCATTATATTGATTTCCAAAAATTATCTTCTTATTTCATTCGTGTGCATATTTGAACTAGGACTTCTGAGTTCTTTAAACTTAAGCCCAAGCTCCAGCCTTGGTTGCTTTTCCTGGAGTCTGCTACTCGTGTGAAAATCTTCAGGGCCTGACTATCCATTTGCACAATATTAAGAGTCCAGCCCTTTCCTCCCTCTCACATTTTTAAATGGTAAATATTATCTTTTTCAGTTATTCTTTGTATATATTTTGAAGCTAACATTGCTATTGAATATTGTTTGATGTTTTGATTGTTTAGGAGACGTAGGCCAACCAAGTCTTACAGGTAAAAAAGACGACATAGGATTATAGACTTGCCTTTTTTTTCATTACTCTAATACATTTGAGCTTTAATAATTTAAACTAATCTTTCAATGAATAAATCGTTTACTTATGTTTTTCCACTAACAATTTCAGTTATTGCAGGTTCAAAACGATAACCAATTATGTTTTGGAATATCATCATACGGGTCACGTAAAACACAACCATTGCTCTAAAAAATAATAAAAGCAACCACGCACAACCATTCTTACAAATAAGCTTGAAACATATGGCATTTCAACAAGATGAGGTATAATTGTTTTCAATTAAAGCATATTTTAGTAATCTCTTATTCATTAAGTCTCACGAACGAATGTCATTCTTTTCAAAAGAAATACATAACCTTTTTCAATACAATGCGTTTTCAAAGAAGACTTAGATGTTTTTATAAATCTTACTTTGTAACTTTAGCCATTAATTAACTAGAATAAAGGTATTTCTTTCCTCGAACCTAGCCAAAGTTTAAGGAGCGACCTCAGGTAGATTTAAAGGGATGCCTAACACCTTCCCTTTAGAATAACTAGAACCCGAACCCAAATCTCACCGGTTAGCAGACCATTAGGATAATAATCTTACAAAAATATAAGTATCCTAATATATCTTAAATATTAGGTGGGAACTCTCTTTTATCAATATCAGAAGAACCACTAGTTATACTTTGTTTAGACGTGTGCAAAATAAGGTGCAATAACATGACGACGCTGATGGGGATCTTTACACTTAGGTTATAACCTTAGCAGATTTAGGCTAGACCCGAAATTTGGGGATGTTTGTTTATATTATTCTTTTACTGTGCTTAATTTTGAAAAATATGTGTTTACTTGTCTTACTTGTTTGTATTTCTATGACCTGTCAAACATGTACTTACTTGCCTATTGTTGCTATCACCATTATTTGTTACTGCTTTATACACTATCATTATATTTTTCCTATTGAGTCTTGGCCATACACAATCACACACAAATGACACGCGAGGGTTGCCTTTTACACCCCTCCCAACTTTCTTTTAAAATTTTCTACTTTCAGAGAACGGATTTGTCAAGTCAACTGACATAATATCTCGCAGTTATTCAGTCCAACATTAAAATTAGGAAACACTCTACTCTAGCAAACGTAGGTCATGCTGCATAAACTTTAGATAAGTTGATCCTTAGTATTGACTCACGATTATGAAAGCTACAGTAATGTCAACGATTCATGTACCCAACGACATGTCTTTTGTAAAACGATGAACCAATTCAGATAAGACGCTAAAGATCCGAAGCAAACACTTACCAAAAGTTTTCACCTCTTTAGATAGAAATCAACCGCAATGTCCCGGAGATTAACATGGTCATGGGTGCACCACACAAGCTGAAGCAGTAGTAGAGAAACATTCGATGGGAGCACATGGACGAGATTAGAACACACCTGGGAAAACTAACCACCTTGATGAACATCCGAGCTGACAAAGTCCTTACTAGACTGCTAATACATTTTTCGGACCCATCTATGGTTGTTTTCAAGTTTTTCGATTAGGAGTTGGTACCAACACTGGAGGAGATCACTAGCTTCACGGAGTTATCATTTGCCGGACAAAAACCAATACTGCCAGTTGCCATGCCTGATCACAGGTTCCTCCATGCATTGGGTCTGACAAACAATAAGAATCTAAGAAACATCAAAGATCGATGGGTGAGTATGGACCAACTATTCGACAGGTTCGGACACCGAGAGAGCTATGAGTGGCATCTTAAAAAATTCCAATGTGATCAAGCAGCATGGGAGAGCCTCCACCCTCTAACCTTTTCTCTAGCAATATTGGGATTGCTAGTTTTCCCGCAAAGAAAAGGGCGAATCAACGTGAACTTGCTGCCCCTAGTCTTGGCAAACTTTCGAGGGAATCTGCAAGTAACCCTCATTCATATGATATTGGCAGAGACATTTCGAGCACTGTCAGCATGCTCTAGAGGATATTATTTTTTCAAAGGCTGTAACTTACTACTCCAGATGTGGGCCACAAAATATTTCTTTTAGATGGAGACAACCGTCGAATATTTTGTTGGCCCCAGTAACATGATCAAGAGCCATAACAAAAGGATGAGACACTGGTTACACCGCATGGGCAAGAGGAGTGGCAAGAGATACTGACCCGTCTGAGCGGATAGTTCGTGAATTGGAAATATTCATGGTTAAGTGGCAGGGCAATCTTGAGAAGCCAGAGAAAGTACTTCATCGAGTTAGTGGGACTTGAAGAAATTTAGCTGTACTTACCTCTGAGGATTCTAAGGCAATTTTTTCTAATTCAATACGTGCCCCGCTGGTTAAGGAAAACTTTTTATGAAGATGATTACAACCGACAAATTCCAATCCCGAGGGTGAGGAGGCTCCATTATGAATGGAACGACATGATCATGATTCCAATAGGGCAAAATCTCTGGTGCACACCTGAGTATTTCGTGTGTATCAAGAGAAGGATTAGTTGGCCAGACCTAGCAGAGAGGTATTGACCAGACTGGAGGATTAAGCAAGTAATTGAATACATATGGATTGAGTAAAAAAATAGAGCCAGAGGTGGATCCTGAGGAGGAACCAGAGTACAACAATGACGAGGAGGAAGAGGAAGTTGAAGAAGACCCTGAAGAGGAATCTGAAGAAGAAATCTTGGGAAGTGACTCCGGGGACAATTATTAAGTTGCTGGGTTATTTCCCTTTATCTTGTACCCTTTTTTTCATTTCCCTAAGGGCAAACCTATGAACCCATGTAATCTTTGTTAACTTTGAAAATAATGTTGTAACCACGACTCCCGTCTTACTGTAATCCAAAGCCTATCAATAAAAACTAAAGGTTGCTCCGGATCAAAATGTGTCAGAATCTGATTGTTCATCAAACATTCGCGACATTGGTTTACCTCTGGCAAAGAGAGGTTTGTCGTATCTTAGGAGACACGCTTATCTAAATACTTGAATTAATTGCTCTATGTGCTTATATTTGTGCAATCTCTGAAACTAACTTCTACTTTTCCTTATTTTCTCGCTTTATTATTTAATTTTATTCCTAAAATCAGAGGTTTGTTTGTGTTGATACGTAAAACTGGCTAAGCCACCGTACAATCTGAGATCCAAGGGAAAGATGTCTGCAATCGAAGACCCGACCAAAAATGCTCTAGCAATACCCGACAACCCAGGGCAATCGGGGAAAAGGATGATACTTGCAATGATGATACTCGCAATTATTTTATCCTCCCTTTATAATCATATCGCTTTATTACTCAAATTAATAAAAAAATTAGTGTCATAATTTGATAAATGAGGTGTTTAAATAATTACTCACAATAATTTATAATATATTTGATGATTATATTTTATTATATTCAATTAGAATTAATTAAGTCTAATTAACTTAATCTTTAAAGGGGTTAAAAACTAAAAAGGCTATAATTGTAATTAATTAACTAAATTCAATGTGGCTATGAATTACATTTTATTTCAGCTAATTTAGCCTAAAATACAAGACCAGTATCAGTCCGGAACCAACCCCCTCTATCCAAGATGAATATTCATGCCAATCTCTCTAAGCCAATCAAAGCATGCCACATCACCCGTCTTCCTCGCTCACAGAGAAAACACAAATAGATTCGGACCGTTGATTGAACTCATCAACGGTCCGTGGTTAATCTCTATTTTTCTCTTTTCCTTAATTTTGCTGAGACCTCATCTCGGTCGTTGATTATAGGGATCCAACGACCGTCTCTTTTTATAATAAAAATATTTCATTAAATTCTTATGCCTTGAATTATCAGGGTCATTGCTCAAACGACCCAACGACCCAGATTCCATCTCCCACTTTTAATTCAGAGACCACCCCTGAACCCTAATCATCCTTTCTGTCCCTGCTTAACCACAAATCCTACATAAACTTTCCCTTTCATTACCCTAATTTGAATCTCTAACCCAGAAGACTTAGACATAGAGGTGAAACCTGGAATTTCATCTGTCCTTCCTTTGTTTCTTCGAATCGGAGCATGCATTGTTATTATCCCCCTTCATCATCATTATTCGTTGTCTAGAGGTCAAACGCAATGACCTCTGGACATTAGGGCTTGAACAATAGACCAAAAGCTTCAACGATCAACCTCCTAGTACTCAGGTAAAACTTATACTGTTTTCCCCTCTTTTCCCTCTGATTTCACTTTCTTACTATCGTCATCCATTTTATTATCACTCTCCACTATCTGTTCAAACTCAATCGAAACCCTAAGTGGCTTGAATGCAACTATAAATAGGGCATACAATATTTCTACCTAACAAACAGTAAGAGCCATAAAGGTTTACCCATAACTCGAGGTTTTGTGTTGCCGAGGTAGGCTAATGTGTTTGAGGCTAATGTATGGACTTTTTGGGTGATGCAATGCATTGGGAAGTTGGAAGAAGAAGTTTTGCTGAACATGTCATTTATGCGGTCCATTATGCGATCGCAGAATCACTTCGCAGACCGCAGATCGGCCGCATAATGCAACAGAACCAGAGCCAAATTTTGAAGGATATTTTGCGGTCAGTTATGCGGCCGCAGAATCATTTCGCGGGTTGCACATTTATCACATATCTAGCATGAGAAATTTTGGAAGAAAAATTCTGCGATACATTATGCGACCACATAACTGTTTTATGGGCTGCAGAAAGCCCGCAGACTTGTGCAGGCCAGCCTAGTTTTTGGGACCCTTTCTCCGGTCCATTTTGTGGGCCGCAGACCTGATCTGCGGTGCATTCTATGACCGCAGAGTTGAGTTCGGAGGTCCATTTTTTATTTTTATAAACCGACCCATTTTGATTAAATGCTATTGGGGCTCGTTTAGATGGCAAAAATATGGCGTTTAGAGAGAGGGAAAGGGAGCTAGAGAGAGAAGGAAGGGCACTAACATCTCCATACATCAAATCCTTGCTCAAGCCTTGAAATTCAATAAGGAAAACTCACAACGTCTTCATCTAAGAGGTAAGATTCTACTCCCTAGCCCTCAATTTCGGGATTAGGACTGAAAGTAGGTAATGAGAAGTGTGATTCTTGGGTGTGGGAGTTGTCCCTTTTGCTTGCATATACCAGCAAAGGTTGTGGGGAGGTTGTTGAACTCAAATGGGTGAACATTGGATTGTGGGATGAAGGAAGTCCACCATAAAAGAACCTTGAAATCATATTGCACACCTAGTGTTTAATAAAATGTCTAAAAGGGTTGAACTCTTAAAACCACTTCCTGATTATGGTTCAGCTTTGTCATATATCTAATATATTGAAGTCTCTAGGATTTCTGGAACCTCGTAGTAAATTAAGGAAAGATCAAGCAAGGTATGTTGACTAAACTTCTCTCATAGAATCGAATTCCATGATGTTCTTGTAAGTTTCAAGCGTGACTTGTCCAAGTCCCTACTCCTCTTATTTCGAGTTATTCCTAAGACACTCAGTTATTCCAGATAAGCATTGTGTCGAGAAATATGTGCTCAAAATGTGTTTCAATTACTCCTATCGTATTATGCTCTCCTTCAGAAATGTATTCAAGTATGGTTTATGCATCGTAATGCTATGACTTCAATCCATGTTTCAAATGCAAGATTTATTATGCCTTATTCTTGGAAGGAAAACTCAGTGTGTTTAAGACTTCTATTGCTCATATACATGTTTAAAGTATTGATTACAAATGCCCTTATTATTGATAATCTATGAGATATAAAATATGGCCATCGTGCCAAAAATAGAAATTACACTTGTGGCTAATAGTGCAAATAAAATGAAAAGAATGTGGGAGAGATTATGAAATTAGCTGTAAGTTCTTTATATAATAAATGATTTGGGAGTATCATTAGTCGCCGAGGAAGGGTAGGTTGAAACAACCTAACCCTGAAACTACACGTGCCGGTGTAGGTGTGATTGAGAGGTAAATACCCATATTAATGTGATGAAATTATTTCCCTTGATTGGGATGAGATTGTTGCTAACCTTGGATTGGATGTCGACTCACACGACACATATGGGGAGACAACCTAGCCGATCGGGTCGAGATCGGATGCCATGCTGCGTACATTGTGGTATTGTAGTTGGATGTCTTGTGGTGAGACGGCTTAACCGATCGGGCTGAGATCGAACTCTGTGCTAAATAGCACAATGATATTGTGATTGGATGTCTTTGGGTGAGACGGCTTAGCCGATCGAGCCGTGATCGGACTACATGCAAAAAAAAATACTGTGCCATATCGGTGCTAAAGATCTCCCGACTTAAAAATAATGATATTTACTTGGAAAATTATATTTCTCTTAACTTGATGCTTTAATATTATTTGAGGCCCTCTTTGATTGAATGTTTCTTTCTCCTGGTATTGTTTCTTGATTCATTGAAAGGGTATTTAGTCTTACATAGTAGTACTCTTCCATATGTACTAACGTCCTTTTTTGCCGGGGGCGCTGCATCTTTAATGGATGTAGGTGGTTCCACAACATGCGGCATCCATCAGCGATAGCGGTACACCCTCTTCTCAGCTGACTTGGTGAGCCCGATTTCATATCGGGATCTTGAACCTTTTGCTCCTTATGTACAGGGTTTTGAGATATAGCCGGAGCTTTGTTAACGACACCATCATATTACTCTTTTGTATCCATTAGAGGCTCCGTAGACATAGTGTGGGTTTGTATCTTGGATTGCATAAATCAACTTGAAACACTTGTTCCACTTCTAAAGCTACGAATGTGTAAAATATTTTGGGAAATCATGAATGAAGTTCTAATGGTAATGAAATTGGTGTTGTTCATGTAATCTTCTCATTGTCTAATTAATGGAATACGTCTTCACTTTACTCGTGGGTAAGGCCGAGTAGAAAGTATCAAGTAGGCTTGCATGACCAGGATATCTCGATTGAGCGCCGGCATGCTCCCCGAAGTCAGGGCATGACACAGACACCAATATTCTTAGCATCACCAGGAATCACATTGAAAGAATTGAAAAGTTCAAGTTTTTCTTCTAGGTATTAAGCTCCAGTAGCTTCTCCCTAATTTCTCTTTTCCTCTATTCATTTCTGCTATAGTTTAATTTATGTATGTGGTTCTTTTTGGTTTGGACTCCTAAATAACTAACAATCGACTTTTGCATGGTTTGCTGTTATACAGAAGGTTAGTGTTTACTGACCCTCTCTCTATCTCTTAATTGTGAAATTTAGTGATGTTTTACTGTTAATCACCTTTTGTTTATGATATACATCAGTTTACATGACTATATTTGTTATATTTTGTTTGTTGTATTCAATTTCCACTGTCGAGTTGATAATTTTTTGATAAATTATGATTTTCGGATACTTCTATTTGTTCTATGTTGTTAATAATTTTTTATCTTTAATGATTTTTGGTCTCCCAAATGTTAGCCAATTAAAATGTTTTCATGATATTGATACTTTTCTGAACAAATCATGTTGAACCTTTTATGATTGGTTGAACTAAGCCTTATGTTAATACTATGTATGGTTTATCTCTGTTAGTTAAATGATAGCTATACTACCATGTTTAGCTAACCTAATTGAGCTATGCTCTTAAACTTCTCATAATATCCTGTTTGATGCACTGTGCTATATTGATCCTTACATTTGTGATATTATGCCGCCCAATTTTGATTCAATAAAAATGATCCTCATCACAATTCATGACATACATTTAATCTGTTTGCTTTGCTGACCTTAATTGAATATTTTTGTTATAGAAACTATGTATGTTATATATACTTAAGAGTTCATGCAAGTCTATCATTATAGTTTGAACTTATGTGATTAACCTATCAGCACAGTCATCACATTATCTGCTCGCTTGATCTGTCATTATTTTATGACCATGAAACTCAGTAGAAACCTAAATGTATATTGGTTGAGTGACATTTTTTCAACCTCCATGCATGTTCTCCTAGTCCAATAATGCCCATGAACCTTTACCTGTTATTTAGTTGAGAAAGTTTCATGCTGAAATTACTATGTCCTTTGCTAAAAACTTCTCTTGATAGTTTGAATCCTATCTGCATTAATAATTTAGCAACTTGAGTGAACAATGCTGAACATATGATCTAAAATGGGAAGTTTACTGGTATAACCTGGTCACTCACATGTTTAAGTAAATTCCCTAAGACCTGTTTGTCTTGTTCTCACCTAGTAAGAATGAACATCCCTACCCACAGTCTTATATCTGGTTGATATCCTTGGCTATAAAAATTTAATCAAAAATTTGTGTTTTTTGGAAACTTGACAAACTACAAGTAGATATCATGCTACTAGGTTTGAACTAGACTAAAGCTGACCTTCCTACTTACATTGATATCTCTGCCGGTTGTTATTCTCTTTGGGAAGCCTAAACAAGGCCATCACTACGTATGTTTAGTAAAGTAAGGTCTCAGCCATGTATATCCTTACCTTGGACTGTACTGGAGACTACTGAAATGTCTGTTGAAGTGCTACGAACCTAGTTAAGGATCCTAAAATTTTGAACCCTCAGTAAAACTAATGAAACTGGTGCATATGTCTTTCCCTGTCACTTACTAATGGTTAGACCACTTAACCAGGCACTTCTGAACCTAAATTGGTTTACTGATAGTATGCCACTAAGTCTCCTTGTTTTTATATCTGTGTGATAACCTTCTTAAGTGTCCTGTTGCATGCTATAATCAACCATAAGGTCATTGATATTACTGGAACCTATAAGTCTACTTCCAGTAACTTGCTTTTATATTTAGGGATCTGATAAAAGCTCCTAAAGTCAATGTTGTGATTAGTTCTGAACTCTTCATATCCTTTCACTCTGATGGTAATATTCTCTATAATTTTTGTTGAAATTCTGTCTATCTGATCCTTTGTGTCTACTGTTGCTTTTATGTTAACTACTAAGTTGACACTTCATTTGTGTTTAAAACATTGAGGAAGAGTAAGCGTGGATGGCTAAGGGTATTTAGGTGTGAAACCTTGTTAGTGGTCAAGATACCCTTCCCTGACACAAGCACTGCTCGGGATCCATGAAATCTTTGTAAAGTCTGAAGTGTCAGGGGTCCAAAGGGGGATTTGTTCTTGTTATACCTTATATTGATTTCAACTAATTATCTTCTCATTTCTTTCGTGTGCATGTTTGAACTGGACCTGATGAGTTCCTTAAACTCGGGCCCATGCTCTAGCCTAGGTTGCTTTTCCCACTCGTTGGAGTCTGTTGCTCGTGTGAAAATCTGCTGGGCCTGACTATCCATTGGTCCAATATCAAGAGTCCAGCCCTTTTATCACTCTCACATTTTAAATAATAAATATTATATGTTTCAGTAATTCTGTGTATATGTTTTGAAGCTAGCTTTGCTATTGATTATTGTTTGATGTTTTGATTGTTTAGGAGACGTTGGCAAACCAAGGATTATATGTTAAAAAGATCAAATAGGATTATAGACTCGCCTTTTTTCATTACTCTGATACATTGAGCTCTAATAATTTAAACTAATCTTTCACTGAATAAATCATTTACTTATGTTTTTCCACTAATTATTTCAATTATTGCAAGCTGTTTGGCAGATTCAAAACGAAAATCAATTCTCTTTTGGAAAATCATCAAACGGGTCATGTAAAACACTAACATTGCTTTCAAAAATAATAAAAGCAGCCACACATAGCTGTTCTTACAAATAAGCTTGAAACATATGGCGTTTCAACAAAATTAGGTATAATCGTTTTCAATTAAAGCATATTTTAGTAATCTCTTATTCTTTAAATCTCACAAACGAATGTCATTCTTTTCAAAAGAAATACACAACCCTTTTCAAGTTAATGAGTTTTCAAACAAGCCTTAGATATTTTTATAAATCTTACTTAGTAACTTTAGTCATTAATTAACTAGGATATAGACATTTCTTTCCCCAAACCTAGCCTAAGTTTAAGGAGCTAGCTTAGGTAGATTTTAAGGGATGCCTAACATCTTTCCCTTGGAATAACTAGAACCCATACCCAAATCTCACCGGTTAGTAGACCATTAGGATAATAATCTTAAAAACACATATATACCTTAAATATTAGGTGGTGACTCTCTTTTATCAACATTAGAAGAATCACTAGTTATATATTTTTTTATCTGTGCAAACAATGATGCAACAATGGACACGGGCATACCATTAAGGCGAACAATCTCCCGAAGATAAATCCGAGCAAGCTACACTGAAGAGTAGGTAGTCCTGGGTGGAGTAAAGTGTACAGACTTAGTCAGTCTGTCCATAATGACCCACACTGCATCGAATCTTCTCAAGGTCCGTGCAACACCGACTACTAAATCCATGGTGATACACCTCCTACTTCAGCTCCGGAATATCAAGCCTCTAAAGCAAATCACCAGGTCTCTGATGCTAATACTTCACCTGCTGACAGTTCAAACACCGAAAAACATACTCAACAATATCCTTCTTCATCATCCGCCACCAATAATGCTGCCTTAAATCATGGTACTTCTTCGCGTCCCTCGGATGAATGGAATATCGCGAACTATGGGCCTCTTCCAAAATCAACTCTCGCAACCCATCCACATTTGGAACACCAATCCAACCCTGTAGCCTTAACACTCCATCATCTCCAATGGTCACCTCCTTAGCATCACCGTGTTGCATTATGTCCGTTAGGACAAGCAAGTGGGGATCATCATACAAACGCGCCTTGATGCACTCAAACAAGGATGACCGTGACACAACGAGCGAGTACCCTCCTAGGCTCCGAAATATCCAACCTCACAAAAACCAAAGCCTAAACATCCAATGCGAACGGTCTCTCCCTAACTGGAAAATAAGCAAAACTCTTCATGCTCTCAGCCTTCTTACTCAAAAGCATCGGCCAACACATTGGGCTTCATTGGGAGAAAAGAATGGTGATATCATAGTCATTTAGTAGCTCAAACCACCTCCATTGCCTTATGTTCATATCCTTTTGCTTGGATAAGTGTTGGACACTCCTGTGATCCGTGAACAACTCACACGACACGCCATAAAGATAATGCCTCCAAATCTTGAGTGCGTGAACAATGGTTGCTAACTCCAAATCGTGCACTGGGTCGTTCTTCTCATGGGGATTCAACTGACGTGAATCATAAATAATAACTCTACCCTCCTGCATCAACACACATCTAATGCCAATCCATGAAGCATCATAACAGACTGTATAAGAACCCAATCCCGAAGGTAAAACTAGAACTGGAGGTGAAAGTTCTCCTCACACTCATCAAACCACCTCAATGGGGCACCCTTCCACGTCAATCTAGTCAAAGGGGCTGTTGCAGATGATAACCCCTCCACAAAACGGTAATAATACTCAACCAACCCAATGAAACTCTGGATGTCAGTAGTAGTAGATGGTCTGGGCCAACTCTGAACTACCTCAATCTTCTTCAGATCAACCATAATCCCTTCACTAGATACCACATGGCCTAAGAATGCCCCCAAGTCTAACAAAAATTCTCACTTGGAGAATTTAGCATATAACTTCTTTTCCCTCAATGTCTGGAGCACGATCCTCAGATGCTACTCATGATCATCTCAGCTATGAGAATACATCAATATATCATCAATGAAGACTGTGACGAAGGAATCAAGATAGGGCTGATATACGCTGTTTATCAAGTGCATAAAAGTTGTTGGGTTATCCCAATAGACATTACCTAAAACTCAAAGTGACCATAGCGGGTCCTAAAAATCATCTTCAGAATATCTGAAGCTCGGATCTTCAACTGATGGTACCCCAATCTCAAATCAATTTTTAAGAATACCCTACCAC